CGGCCCGCGGCCCTCGATCGCTCGCGTTCCGCCTCCGGCTGCACTTAATCTTCGATTCTCTTTCAATTACCCGGCTTCGGGCGGTCGAGCGAACAATCCTTTCTAAGGCTGCGCCTTCTTTCCTCTCTCCGTTCGTCGTCGACTTTGGAATTTACTGAAACGCGCCGACGTGTTCGGCGGATCGATCGATCCGTTCGATCGGAAACGAAGAAACGAGAAAACGGAAAACGAAGAGGGAAGGAAGAGGAACGTTGTTAAATTGCGAGAGTACGCGCGAAAGAAACGAGAGATAGGAGGCTCGACGAAGTTCGGCGAAGGAGGAACGAAAATAGGACGGAGGCGCGATCAAAGGGATCGAGAGAAGCGGCTCGAGCTGAGGAGAATACGGCTTAAAAATGATTTAATTTCGAGGCTCGTTTATCTCTCGGTCTCCGGTCCGCTCCCCCTTTCGCGAACAGATTCACGGAAGAAGCGGATGAAAATGAAGACGAGGATGAAAAAGGAGAGGCGATATAGTTTCGATAGAACGAGGACAGCGTGCGCAGTGTCGGTTCCGTGCTACGGAATCCTTAGGACTCGCGCGCCAACCTTCAACGAGCAGATTTTCTCGGCAAACGTAGCTGCCGTGCGCCGGCCTTTCATTTCGCGAAAGCGAGACGAAGTTCTTTGCTCGGGTAGCCCGCGGCTGCGAATCTCGTTTGCTCTCGGAGGAAATCTCGTCGCCGCGACGTACCGCGGCCTTTCGACTTGGCGTTTCGATTCGAAGCGCGGCGCTTCCACTGCTCGCCTTCCATCGCCGGTACCGACGGCGTCTAGAACATTTCCTACGCGCGATGAAATATTCGAATCACTTCGAACGTGATTCGGGGCCTGAAACTCTAGTTGGCGTCTCGATCGTCAATCACGAGACGTCGCGCGTCGTTTCGTTCTTCGTTCTCGCGAGCGTTGTCGCTTCTTTCGCTCGTTTCCTGTAACTCGTCGATGTTCGGTCGCGAGAATTCGACACTGTCGCACGACGATAAAAAGGAAGTTTGACCGGATCGTCGAGGCTGATCGCCCTGACGATCTCTCACACGCTGCAACACGTCCCGTCGCGTTTGTTTCAGGTGAAACCAGACACGGAAATGGTGTTCGAGCAGCACGGACTTTATTCGGTGATATCCAGTTTACGACTGCAATTGGAACCGGATCACATCGCCGGCGACAAAATAAACGTCAGGTAATTCCGCCCTGGACAATCTCCTCCCCACCCATCACCACCACCACCACCAACACTCACCAACACTCATATCATCACCGCCACTCTGCCATCAATGCCATCGCTATCATCATCAACAGCCCGATTCGTCCAGCCCCGACGATTAATACGTCTCTATAAATTTTGTCGAAGATGCGAGGCGACCGTGGTATTGGACTCGATGTCGGACAAGCCACGCTTCGAGACGCGCACAACGGAAGTTTTCGGTAAGCTCTGCCTCGTTACGAACTCCACGAGAATTCTCCGTTCGGCTAGTTGCACGCGAAAATACGGCTATCGCGATATGCGTACACATATATGTGACAAGTACCCACACGTATATAACGGCTATAAACGTATATTTTACTTTCCAACGTGTGCATATCGTATAGATGCATTTGGTAAGACATATTTAATGACTAAATTGCGTGTGCGTAGTTCGTTACTCGAATGGCAACGATTTTTACCGGAGGCGTAAATAAACTCGATATTAATACAACTCGTCTATTTTTATTGAAACGGAGTTCATTACTGCACCATCGTACTTATTAATTCCATTTTGTATATTTTAATTACGGATATATCGAACTGTAATCGTTTTATCCCGCGTGTAACGATCGTAGCTACGTATAGTAGGACGTTCTGACGAGATTAAGAGGCAATAGGCAACGTTAGGTTGTCCGAAGAGTGTCTTTCTTTTACAAACCCATCTTTTGCAACGATACATCTTTATACAAACACGAAACCTGGTCTGTCGAACGTCGTGATCTTTATTCCGATAGAACATATAAAATAATACAAAACGGAAATCCATTATTTCCTTATAAAACGAAAGAAACTTTTCGGACGACCTAATAGTGAAAACCGACGTTCGTAATCGTCGAACTTTGTAGAAATATCTGGACGAGCTCTCAGTTTTCGTGTGCTTTGATCTCGGAATTAAAAGTCTCGAACCGACTGCGCAAAATATATTTTTCGACGCGCCGCTGAATTTTGGCAATTAATTTATACGAACGACGAGACGAAAAAGCCTGAAAGTCGCAGTCTTAGACGGCTGCTACGTATACAGGGTGGTTGGTAACTGGTGGTACAAGCGGAAAGGGGGTGATTCTACGCGAAAAAAGAAGTGGGAAATATAGAATAAAAATTCTTTTTTTTAATTTTTCCATCGAGACAACGATCTACAGTGAGATCCGTTATAACGAGACGCGATAAAGTGCACGCGTACCGAGCCAAAATTCAAAGTCGGTTTCCTCGAAAACAAAGCCTCGAACGAAAAATGTTTATTCTATATTTTCGACTTCTTTTTTCGCCTAGAATCACCCCCTTTCCGCTTGTACCAACCACCCTGTATATCGTGCGTTTACGTGTGTACGTTCGCGTGAAAGCAGCCTTCCGGTTTCCCTTTCTCGTGTCCCACAACGCGTCTTTCGCTCGCTTCTCGCCGGCCGCGTTCTCTTTCGAAAAATGGACGAACGAAGGAGAAGCGAGAACCGTCGAAACGACGGACGCGTTAATTAACGCGTGCCTGACGGCGCGAGAAACGATTACCTCGTTATTTCCGAGCGAAAGAGGCGCAACCCCGTAGAAAGCGAGAAAGAGAAGGGGAAAGGGAGGACGCGAGGAGTCACTTTCGCAGGAAATTAAGCATCGTTCGCGCGCTCTAACGAATTAAGGATGCTTTACGATCGTCGGTGTCCGTGGAACGGACCTGCACCGGCCGCAAAGTCGGCACGAGCTTCCCTCGAGAGGCGCGCGCTCGCCCCAACTACCAAAATTAAAACAATAATTTACGCTCGTTTACCTTTCGCCTCGGTTTCTCCTTTCTTTCTTGTTCAACGCGAGCGATCAATTCCGTACATTAGGTTACGATTACGATCGATGTAGATGGTTCTGGCGGACTAAGCAAATAGAATAAAAAGTTCGTCGAGTTAACGAAGCCCCGATATTTGAAATTTTACCTTCGCGCGGATTAATTCCATCAAACTCGTTACGCGTGTACGCGGTGGCTGGCGAAAATACTCGAATATTTCTAGGAACTTTCGCGTGTACATCGTAGGAAACATTTCGAAGTTTCAGAAACTTATGGAAACCTTTTACGAATACATTGCGTATTACGCACAGTATTTCGAATTTCATCGCCGTTGTAACGAGTTGCGAGTTGGATGTAACGTTAGAGTTTCGAACAAACTGGAAAATCTATATTAAAGCTACGGATATTTAGTACAGTGACATTTTCGGCAATAACCTCAGATATCGCTCTCTCGAATGGAGATTCTGTCGTGCTTGATTATTTTTCGCAGTACTTCGGAACATTGGTCGATGGGAAAATTCGTCGTAATCGGAATCGTGGCCTTGGTTATGCTCGATCACGTCGCACGAATTCTACGACGACGAACGAAATCGCGTGGGTCGCCACGCGATTCGGAATGAAAATTAAAAGAGGTGGAAATAAAACATAATCGAGTGGAAGTAGCGTTTGCAGAGAACGATCGATCGCAAAGGGAATGGGAAATTTGGTCGCCGCCTCTCGGACGGGACGCCCGTGAAGGGTAAACGTCGGCCGAAATCGCCAAAGGGGACGGTAGCGGAAGCGAGAGAGCTTCGCGCAAAGGGAAAAGAGAAAGAGAGAGAATGGCGAACGTCTCGACGAAATTGCTCTTAACGATCTTCGATTTTCTCGTTAGACCGAGTCGTTCTTGGAAGCGACGTACGTCGCGTTGCCGCATTCGCCGCTCTCGCTCTCGCTCTCGTTCCTCTCCACCCTTTGCATCCTCGCGACTCTGCTACCTACCAAATTCTCCTAGGCCGAAACTTTTCGAGAAGATCGAGGCTAAACGTCCAGGAACAAAGTTCCAATCGTATCGGCTTAAAAACTTGAAATTTCCGCTTTGACGAACCTCGGTCGTAAACGTTGTTCTCTTCTCGCTTGCTTCTTCGAGTCTAGGTCTCCTTCGACTAATTGGCATGCATACTTTACCAGGCGATGCGAAACACTTTGACACTTTCTTCTTAATACCAGTGTTTCGTAGATCGAACTCGTTAAATTCGCTGAATACAAAAGTTGCATTTTTGCTCGGATTTCAAAAATCGACAGCTAAATTATCCGCCAGAAACTTTTCCGCGTGAACAGCGGATGCCAAGGTGGATCGAACAGCGCGTGTATATCGAAAAGTAGACAA